TTTGTTTGTGGAATTCCCTTACTTGCCAGCCTGCCAATTTCCCATCTTTCAAGACTCAGTTAATCCCTGAACTTCTTGGCCAAAGTTAGCTGCTTCCTTCTCTTTTCTCCCATAGTGCGCGCTCTCTCTCTCTCTCTCTCTCTCTCATGTGTGTATTGTACCATTTATTTACTTCCTTTTTTTTTTGTCTTTTTTCGTGTCTGGCAACGGACCACAACCCTCAGTGTCGCGCCCGTACCAGACCGGGACCGGCAACGGGATTGCAACCCTCGGTGTTGCGGCCGCACCTCGCTCAGCTAGTGAGCGGGAACTGGTCTGTATGTGGGATCCGAACCCTCGGTGGGAGCACCGCCGTGCTCCCAAGCAGCGCACTGTAGCAGTGCGCCACCGGGCCGGCCCTACCATTTATTTACTTGTCTGTCTCTTCCACAAGCTTGTGAACTTCATCATCATCAGGACCGTGTCATATTTACTCCCAAATCACAGTGCTTGGTGTACTGGTTTTGCACATTGGATCACTCAGTGAATGTTCTTTGAATGAATCAATGGATAGATAGATTAAGAAGAAGGAATTAGCCTGGAGTATATTCTCAAGCACTGGGAAAGTCTGTCCAGAGGGAGTTTGGGTGGTAAGAATACTTAACCCGGAAGGGAGTTTATAATTTATCAGTATTTTGGGATAAGATTCAATAGGCAAAGGAGGACTAGTTGGCAATGGAAGTTTTAATAAATAGCAGAGTTATAATAGATAAAATGTCTGAAATTGGTTTTTAAAGCCCCCATTTTTCAGACATACTGTGCTTTTGTTTTTTGTAGTGCCTCCACTTCTCATTCAGAGAATTCAGTGCATACAAAATCAGCTTCTGTTGTATCGTCAGATTCCATTTCAACTTCTGCAGACAACTTTTCTCCTGACTTAAGGGTATGTATACTATTTTAAAGTTCCGATGAAGTACTTCATGTTAGGTATTTGTGGTCCTACACTATGAATATAACCTTTAACTAACTAAGCAGGAAATTTTGATGGAGTATTCTCAAAGACCTCAGTCTATAAGCAGGCCAGCATATGTGGAACGCTTATTTGTAAAAGAAAAATGTGTAATTCATTTCTAAGGTTAATCGCTTTTAAGTTCTTTGCCAAAAGATAATTAGTGGATTTATTTGTGGTATAAAGGTTTTTATGATTACTCCCATAATAATGGCCAATAATAGCTAACATTTATTGAGTACTAACTGTGTACTCAGTAAAGCATTGTACTAAGTGCTGTACATGAATTATTTCTTGTAATACTCCCACTAATTCTTGCGGCCATTCTACAGATGATAATAAGTCATGGAGATTAATTTAAGTAACATGTCCAAGGTCTCATAGCTAATACATTCGATTGCCAGTGTTCCAGCCCATGCAGTCTAATTCTGGAGTTATGTCACTTAAATGTTGTGTGATAGTTCCTATACGTCTCATTATAGTGTGTAAGTATTCCTTTATTTATTAAAGGTCTTGTTTCTATGACATTAACCACAGAAGCCATATCCTGTAGCACATTGTACGTTTCTGGATTCATTAGCTTTTCTACAACCACTTGCCTGTGAATGATGGAAAGTCCAAGAGCAGATCTGGTGTCTGGTGAGAGTATGCTGCTTGGTTTGCAGATGCCTTTCTTTGTGTCCTCACATAGTAAAGAGCACCTCAGAATCTCTTTTTTTTGGCAGCTGGCTAGTATGGCTCAGAAACTTTTTATTCCAGTCAAGTGTCTGCTTATATAATTTTAATGAAAACATTGTTTTCATTAATGAAGCCATTTGGTGTTGAGCATATATTGAGAGAATATATCTTTTTCATCTATTTCATTTTTAAGATAGAATCCAACAAATATAAGAAGACAGGTTAGAAACAGTCTGTAAAGGCTTCTGCATATTTGTCATTATCTTTTGTGAACTTTTGTAAAACGTTAGATTGGGTATAGCATGATTTTAAACATCACAAAAAATTCTGAAGGCTTATTTTCATAATCTGGATATAATGCTAATTCTGAAGGCTTCATA